CAATCCCAGATACTTCATGGTGGACTCGACAGCTATCCGGGCCCCGCTGACCACGATGTGTGAACCCGGCGGCGGCGCGCGTCGAGGGCCATGGAACACCATGGCCTCCGACTTACTTAGGGCCACCTCCAGGCCCAGGCACCGGATGCGGTTCACCACTTGTGACACCGCAGCCGTGGCAACCAATGCTGCTTCCCTGTACGAACTCCCCCGGGCAGTGACGAGCGTGTCGTCCGCATAACACGTCAAGTCGGCGCCCGACGGGAGTTCACCTCTCAGCACCCAGTCGTAGCCGATGTTCCACAGGAGCGGTCCCAAGACCGATCCCTGCGGAACACCGCACGACATGACGCGCCGACCAGCGCCGTCACGTCCCCAATAGGTAACGCATCTCTCCTCAAGGTAAGCCCCTATTGTGCGGCGGAGGTAGGGAGGCACGCGATGGTAATTCAGCGCCTCCCGAATGCAACTCCAGGGTAGGGTGTTGAAAGCGTTGGAGATGTCTAAGGACACCGCCAGCACCACCCCACCCCGGGATACTGTCTCCTCCGCCAGGGCCCTCACGCGCGTAATAGCGTCTATGGTGGAGCGCCCGCGACGAAAACCAAACTGGTTGTCATCCAGGTCCGGCCCCTCTCTGCACAAGTGGCTGACGAGGCGATCTGCGATGATACGCTCAAAAAGTTTGCCCGCCTCGTCGAGCAGCACTATGGGCCGGTACGCGGACGGTGAGTCCGCGGGGCGCCCCTCCTTCCTGAGCAGGACCAGCCTCCCCTCCTTCCACACACTGGGAAACTGACCCTGCTCGAGACATGCCGTGAAGAGCCCTCTCAGCTGGGGCTCTAGCTCCTTCAGAGCCAGGACGAGAGCTCGACCAGGAACTCCGTCGGGTCCGGGCGCTGTGTTCTTAGCCCGGAGTCGCGACACGGCCACTCTCGTCTCTGCTTGCGTCACCTCGGGGACATCGGTGCTCTCCTCTTCTGGAGAGTCTGTGGCTGAGGGCGAAGCCATCGCCGGGGGAACGTGTCCCACTCGCTCAGGGAAGAGAGTCGATAACACCGACTCTAGCAACTGGGGTTGCATCCTTTGTGTTAGTGGAGGCGCCCAGGGACGCAACTTGCCCCGAATCCAACGGTAGGGGCGCCCCCACGGATCCCGATCTAGGGACCCCAGCAGCTCCTCCCTGGCACGCGACTTTGAGTCGCCGATGGCCAGCCACAGAGTCTCCTTAGACGCGCGGTACACCTCATACAGCGCGTCCTCCTCGGCGGAATCCCGTCGACGCCGCCTCCGGTATCGGGTGTACCGGCGACGAGCCGCAACGCACGCTATGCGCAATTGCGCGATCTCGGCGGTCCACCAGTACACCTGGCGCTTTGCGGACCGTTGGCGGACACGGGGCATTGACGCGTCGCAGATCTGCGTCATCGCCCCGCGAAACCATAACGCCACCGCTTCGACGTCGACGGGGCCGTCCGTCGTCGACTCCCAGATCCAGGACTGAACTAGGGCAGCTTCCTCGAGTAGTTCCCTGTCGATGCGCTTAAGCGCCCAACGCGGGCCGTCGTTAATCGGGGTTGTTGGATGGCGGCCGCTCGCAGTCTGGGCAGAGACGTCGAACCGGATATATCGATGGTCCGACAGTGTCTCCACCTCTACGGCGACACGCCAGTCGCGGACTCGGCTGGCGACAGAGGGGCTAGCAAACGAGACGTCCACTATCGACCCACCCCGCTGCCGCACGCACGTGTATTCCGAACCCCGATTCAGGACGACCAGACCAGTCGTCACCGTCCACTCTTCTAGCACCTCACCCCGAGGGTCAGTGACCGGAGATCCCCACGCCGATGACTTGGCGTTGAGATCCCCGAGCACCAGAACGGGACGAGGGTGACAAGGAAACCCTCAAAGTCGGCGAGACTCTTGTTGGGGGAGAAATACGTCCCTACAATAACGATGCCGCCCGAGACCGCAGCAACCCAGCCGCGGCCCCGAGACGGGTCGATCAGAGTCTCGCCAATAATGGCCACCAAACCGTCAGCGCATCCCAACCAGTTGTCACGGGCTGGAATGAAGTACGGTTCGGCGACCACAGCCACGTGAATCGACCACTCTGCCATGCTCTGGAGTAGGAGATCCTGAGCTCTGGCACAGTGGTTGATGTTGCCCTGGAGAAAATGGAGAGAATGGAGTTGTGCCATTATTGACATTCCATCCCCTCGGCAACGGTCCTGGGCCGGGAGTCGGCCGCGGAGCTGCTAGCCTGCGAGGGCAGGGAGGTTAACCCGGCAGGCTTAGTGCTCCTCTCCTTTTTCTTTTTCTTTTTCTTGCTGGTAGGCGCCCCACAAGCCCCTCCGCCTACTCTGTGCTCCGCTGGCCTTCCCGCAGCAGAACAAAGGCTGCAGTTGAGCGCCGCGGAGCACAGGGCAGCCTTGTGGCCAGGCTGGCCGCAGCGATAACAGAGGTCACTACGGTCAACCTCGGCGGTGCACTTCGCCCGGACGTGCCCTTTTTCCAGGCACCGAAAGCACTGCAAAGCCCGGGGCTGTAAGAGCTTGGTCCTTGCCGCCACCCAGCCAACCTAACCTAACCTAACCTAACCTTTTTTTTTTTTTTCGTGGGGAAATCCTCATGGATACCTCCAGCTGCGGGGGCAACCGGAAGGTTATACCGGACTCCTACCGGCTAAAACACCACGGTGCCGCCTCGCACGTGTGCGCGGGGCCGCGGGAATCCAAATTCTTCCGCAGCCCCACACTAGTGCTGGCCCGGTCTGTCCGGGCCTCGTCTCCTGCACGGGGTAGCGAGGTGTTCAGATACCCCCCTCCACAGCCTCCAAATCCACCTGCGTATCGGACCACCCCGAGTCCGATACGCGGAGGCTTTGGGGCCCGGAAAATCGAGCGCTTAATAGCGCACGCTTTCCCGACCCCAGCGGCGGATCTGGTCTCGGGCTCCGCCGCCAACCAAGTTTCGGCCGCGGAGGGTAGGGAGAGCGGCGCCTCGCAATACCGACACTCCTCTCCCCCCGCGGCCCCGTTTGAGTCGCGGAGGATAGGGCGAGTGGCGCATCGCCATACCAGCACTCCTCTTCCTCCGCGACTCCACCTCGGCTGCAGCGGTAGAGGGTGCGGACTCCCCTCTCACCGCAGCCCACCAACACACATCCGAAGTGGGCTCGTCAAGCCCACTCGGAGTGGCCACCTCGGGCCAGCCAAGGGGTTCCTCTTTGTTCACCGTGGGTGACCAAGCCACGGCTACTAAGCCCCTCCGCCACGACAAGGCGGGAACCCGTTCGGGGGGGGGGAACCTAACCTAACCTAACCTTTTTTTTTTTTTTTTTACATGGGAAATGCCTACGCATACCCGCCTCGCGGGGGCAAGGACGGGTTATGTCTTACTCGCACCGACTAAAACCCCATGGTGTTCCACCCTCGTCGCATATTGGCAGGGCCACGGGAACGCTTTCGCACACATCCGCGGCCCCACCTGCGCTGGCTGCCCCATGGCTGCCCCTCCTCGGGAGAGGACTACTCCTCCCCCATCTCCCTCTCAGGTAAGGCGCACCAGAACACATGGCGCGCCCTCCTCCTCGGCCTTCAATTTCATATGTGCAACGGACGCCCCCGTGTCCGATGCGCGAAGGCCATGGGGCCAGGAAAAACTAGCACTCAGTAGCACCAGCCTTCCTGACCCCAGCGGCGGATTTGGTCTATGGCTCCGCCGCCAACCAAGATTCGGCTGCGGAGGGTAGGGAGAGCGGCGCCTCGCAATACCGACACTCCTCTCCCCCCGCAGCCCCACCACCACCGCATCAATTAACGGTGCGGCCCCGTCTGAGTCGCGGAGGATAGGGCGAGTGGCGCATCGCCATACCAACACTCCTCTTCTTCCGCGACTCCACCTCGGCTGCAGCGGTAGAGGGTGCGGACTCCCCTCTCACCGCAGCCCCCCGACACATCCGAAGTGGGCTCGCCAAGCCCACTCGGAGTGGCCACCTCGGGCCGGCCCTACACCACGGGCCAGCCAAGGGGTTCCTCTTTGTTCACCGTGGGTGACCAAGCCACGGCTACTAAGCCCCCCCGCCACGACAAGGCGGGAACCCGTTCGGGGGGGAACCTTACCTAACCTAACCTAACCTAACCTTTTTTTTTTTACATGGGGAAATGCCTACGCATACGCGCCTCGCGGGGGCAAGGACGGGTTATGTCGGACTCGCACCGACTAAAACCCCATGGTGATCCACCCTCATCGCATATTGGCAGGGCCACGGGAACGCTTTCGCACACTTCCACGGCCCCACCTGCGCTGGCCACTCCATGGCGGCCCCTCCTCGGGAGAGGACTACTCCTCCCCCATCTCCTTCTCAGGTCAGGCGCACCAGAACACATGGCGCGCCCTCCTCCTCGGCCTCCAATTTCCAATGCGCAACAGACGCCCCCGAGTCCGATGCGCGAAGGCCATGGGGCCAGGAGAAACTAGCACTCAGAAGCACCGGCCTTCCTGGCCCCAGCGGCGGATCTGGTCTATGGCTCCGCCGCCAACCAAGATTCGGCTGCGGAGGGTAGGGAGAGCGGCGCTTCGCAATACCGACACTCCTCTCCCCCCGCAGCCCCACCACCACCGCATCATTAACGGTGCGGCCCCGTCTGAGTCGCGGAGGATAGGGCGAGTGGCGCATCGCCATACCAACACTCCTTTTCCTCCGCGACTCCACCTCGGCTGCAGCGGTAGAGGGTGCGGACTCCCCTCTCACCGCAGCCCCCAGACACACATCCGAAGTGGGCTCGCCAAGCCCACTCGGAGTGGCCACCTCGGGCCGGCCCTACACACCACGGGCCAGCCAAGGGGTTCCTCTTTGTTCACCGTGGGTGACCAAGCCACGGCTACTTAGCCCCCCCGCCACGACAAGGCGGGAACCCGTTCGGGGGGGAACCTAACCTAACCTAACCAGAGCTGCAAAGGTTAGTTGGGGCCTTCAACCAGAGATCATCAGGACGATGTACACGGCGGTCGTTGAGACGATAGTATTGTACGCGGCGAGCGTGTGGGCGCCAGCTGCTAAAAAGTTGGGAGTCCGAAAGCAACTGAATACTGTGCAGAGAGGAATCGCTCAAAAAAAAAATCATAAAAGCGTACCGTACTGTATCCCTACACTCGGCGCTAGTATTGGCTGGTCTATTCCTCTGGACTTAAGAGTCCAAGAAGCAGCATCACTTTTTGTAGCAAAGCGAGGGAAACTCCAGTCAGTGCTGGCAGACCGAGTGGTGGAAACAAAGGTGAGCTGCACGGAGTTGCCTCATCCAGCATCCGATATGGACCTGAAATTCATATGCCTGATAAATGAGGACGAAACTAGACGCAACAACATCCAGAGTCTCCGAATATTTACCGACGGGAGTAAAATAGAGGGAAAGGTCGGAGCAGCATTATATTTTTGGAATAGTGCCGCCGAGATCCGAACTCTGAAACTCAAACTGTGGGACCACTGTACCGTTTACCAGGCAGAATTACTGGCCATATACATGGCAACTGAGCGGATACTTTCTAGCGCGGAGACAACTTTCGGAGTTTACAGTGACTCTAGGTCTGCTCTTGAGACCATTGTAAACCAAGACTCCCAACACCCGTTAGCAGTCAAGACCCGTAAAAACATCCACAACATCTTGGGGCAACAAAAAAACATTACAACTCTTGGATTAAATCCCATGCGGGTCTTGCAGAAAACGAACGTGCCAACGAGTTGGCAAAACATGCAGCGCTGCGAACCAAAAGAAGTCCGGACTATGACCTTTGTCCGGTCTCCTTTGTAAAGCGTCTCATTCGATCGGAGACGCTACAAGAATGGAACCGGAGATATGCAGAGGGAGAGACCGCTAAAACAACAAAAGTTTTTCTGCCGGACGCTGAGTCAGCCCACAAAGTAATAAGGGAAACAGCGCTGTCTCCGACGATGGTTCAGGCAATGACCGGACATGGTGGGTTCTCCGAGTACCTGTACCGATTTCGTTGCAAAGAGAGCCCATCATGCATCTGTGAGCCCGAAATCGAGGAGATAGTGTTGCACATCCTTCTGGAGTGTCCTCGGTTTGATAAAATCAGATATAATCTTGAGTTTGAAACCAATCTACAAATTAAAAAAGACAATTTGCATATATTGTTAAAAGAAAAAAGGACAAGAAATAATTTTATAAAATTCTGTGAGGGTGTAGTAAAACAAGTTATTAAAAATAATTGTTGTATTGTACGCGTAAAGTCAAATCTCACTTCTCATTATATTTGTAAAAACAGTCCGCAATAAACCATTAGACAGTGAATACGTTGTTTACTTCTCTTAAGTGACATATACGCAAGTGTGACCCGTCCGTATAATAAGTTAAAGTACATAATGGCCTGCATCGAGCCGGATTTTTATTGAATAGGCGACTGATAACGTCGAGTCGGAGAACAAAAGAGCTCGGACGCCAATACAAAAACAAGTTACATTAATTTTGTTGGTAAATATTAACCGTCGTATTATTCAATATTTAACATGGAAACTACGGACCAAATTTTAAGTGAAATTGAAGATTTGCACTGTAGTATTGTTAAAACCCACGAGAACTTTAAAAAGTGTCCAAAGGCACGTCTAACTAAGGGATATTTAGAAGCAAAAATTAACTGCCTGAATGACTATTGGAACTCGTTTAAGAATGCACATACAAGTTTAATAAAATCTGTGCCTAAGGAACAACGAAAACGCTTGGAATATTTTAATAAAGACGTATACTATTCGTGTGAAGAAAGTTATATGCAAACAAAAGCGGATATGAAGGACTTATTAGATTCATTACATTCTACGGTTATACAATCAACCAGCGTTGGTGAAAATAAGATATTGCAGCGTGAAGTTCCCCAAGTCAAGTTGCCCAGAATACAATTACCATCATTTTCTGGCAGTTACGAAGATTGGCCGACGTTTCAAGATTTATTTTTAACGCTTGTTGATAAAAATGAAACACTCAGTTGTGTTCAAAAACTACACTATTTAAAGTCTAGTGTTACGGGCGATGCCGAAAATTTATTGAAACATATCAGATAACCGAAAATAACTATAACCAAGCGTGGGATATATTAAAAGGGCGTTATTGCAACAAACGACTCATAGTGACCTCTATTCTAAAACAGATGTTTAACCAAAAAAAATTGCAAAGTCAGTCCGCAAGTCAAATTAAATCTTTACTTGACACTACGACCGAATGTCTTAACACCTTGAAAAACCTAGACGTTATTACTGAACATTGGGATCCATTGGTGATTTATCTGGTCGTAAATAAACTAGATTTGGAATCCCATAAGGAATGGGAAGAATTTGTAAGCAAAGAAATGAACGATAAGTTGCCCACCTTAATAACATTAACAAAATTTATGGAAATGAAATTTCGAACACTTGAGTTGTTATCGCCAGGTTCAACAAGGGATAGAACTACAGTGCGCTCATATTATGTAACAACTACGGAGAAGGTTTGTCCATTGTGCAACGGGAATCATGCACTATGTCACTGTAAGAGTTTTGGCAAAATGGAACCTACAATGTGAAGTGAATTAGTAAAGACAAAAAACATATGTTTCAACTGTCTAATTCCTGGTCACCCAGTCAAAGCTTGTCGTTCATCCAGCACATGCAGGATTTGTCACAGACGTCATCACTCTCTTCTTCATCATTCACGAGCTACGAGTCCCCAAGGTGAAAAACAAAAGGAAACACAACCGAAGGTTTTACATACAAACAGAAGAACTTCAAGTCAATACAATGATGACGTCACAAGCTCAAGCAATGAGGAGCACAGTTTTATTAGGTACAGCAGTAGTTACAGTACGAAGTGAAGATGGATACACAACTGCATTAAGAGCCCTCATTGACCCGGGATCACAAGCTTGTTTAATTAGTGAACGTGCAGCTCAATCTTTAAATGCTACAAGGTATAAAGTTAAGGGAAACATTATTGGTGTGGGATCTGTAATGTCAAAAATAAATCAAGTAGTTCAGGTAGAGGTAATATCACAGTATCAAAGCGAATTCAGCCTCAAGGTAAAAGCCTATGTCATGTCAAAACAACTGACTACTAAAATCCCCACAAAATCAATTGCGTTTTACGAATGGCCCCATCTCCAAGGACTTAGGTTAGCAGATCCAAGTTTCCACACAACAGGATCTATTGATTTGTTGTTAGGAGTAAATGAATATGCACAAATCTTGCAAAGTGAAGTCATCAAAGGTCCACCTGGAACACCTTGTGCGCAAAATACTGCACTGGGTTGGATAGTATTCGGGACCGTAAACGACAATTTACAACAACAAGAACAAACAATGATAGTCATGCATCAAGTTACTGAAGCAGATGATATTTTAAAAATTTTATGGGAAGTAGACCCGACTCCTAAAAGAAGATTCACGAAGGATGAAGAGAAATGTGAAGAAATATTTAAGAACACCTATTCGAGAAATAGCGAAGGAAGGTACATAGTTCAATTACCATTTAAAGTAGGTAGTCCGAAGTCACATAAAGGAAACAGCAGAGAAATATCAATGAAAAGATTTATACAGTTAGAACAAAAATTAGATAAGATACCATATCTTAAAGTAAAATATCAGGAGGTCATGAAAGACTATCTTACAATGGGTCACATGGAAAGGATTCCCAAACAAGAAACAACCAAGTGCGCAGTTTATTTGCCTCATCATGCTGTAGTACGCACCGACAAAGAAACGACCAAAGTGCGTGTTGTTTTTGACGCTTCATGTAAGAATTCTCAAGGAATATCTCTTAATGATGAGCTCTTGGTAGGACCCGTTTTACAGGAAGATTTAAGAAGTATCATTATGAGATGGCGGATGCACAAAATTTGTTTCGCAAGTGATGTCGAAAAAATGTATAGGATGATATTGTTAAAAAAGGAACACACAGACTTTCAAAGAATTTTTTGGAGAGATGATTCATCAAAATCTAACGAAATAGAGGAGTTCAGGTTATTGACAGTTACATTTGGTACAGCATCGGCACCATATCTAGCTGTCAAAACCTTATTACAGATTGCAGACGATGAAGCCAAAGACTATCCTAATGCAGCAAGAACAATACGTGAAGACTTTTATGTAGATGATTTAATGTCTGGGTGTGACACTGTTCAACAAGCCATAGAAGTGTGTAAACAATTGAAAATTATTCTTAACAAGGGCGGCTTCAGACTACAGAAATGGATATCAAATAATGCCAAATTGTTAAGGTCATTAGAACCAAGTGAAATATCAACAAGGGCTAGCCTGAATATTAAAATTGATGGCACCGTAAAGGCACTCGGCCTGACATGGAATTTAGGTGAAGATGATTTCCAATACACTGTGACTTTACCGCCTGTTCTAAAGAACGTCACTAAACGTAATATAAGAAATAGTTAAAAAAAAAAACACAACATTATTAACCTTATATTACTGATAGCAACCTAAGTGACTTATGCACAAATCAAAATCAAAATCAAAAATCTTTATTCTCAAACCAGTAATACTTAAAATTAAATACATTATTGGAACACTCCTTTTAAGTTAAGAAACTTGTGTTAGGAGGCTCCGCTCTTCCCGTCTTTCATTTATATAAATTAGTGTTTAGAACTTGGGTAACACATAGATTTTTGACTTACAGTTAAAATTATGTAGTATTTTTACAATAAAATATCCGTTGGTGTTAGTTGTGTGATTGTGTAGTGTATGTGTATGTGGTGTGTGCATGTTGAGGTATGGTATATTTAGTAAATTATTAATTATGTGTAACAAGTTAAGTAATTTTGTCTAAAAGTGTTTCGGTTTCGTTGTAATTTAAAGTTTTCAACCATTCTATTGTTTTCTTTTTAACTTCTATTCTATGCAATGGATATATGCTCAAGATTTTATTTATTTTATTATATAAGTATACTGCCCTTTTCTCATATTGTACTGAAGCAAATGTCGTTTTACAGCGATCGGTATATAGAACTAAGTCTTTTCTTCTTTTGTTTGTCTTGTCACGTTCATACCTCGTAGATTTGTGAATTTTAAGCAATAAGAATAAAATATATAACTTTCGAACTGACAAGACCCCAGACAAATTATAAAGGTCAGTAGTGGGGAATCGGTATGGTTTGAAATAGCAGACCTTAAGTAGGGCTCTTTGAGCTCGCTCAACCTCAATGAATCTTGTTTTTAAAGCTCCTCCCCATACTGGGATACAATAAGTAAGAACAGATTGAGCCAGTGCTGTATATACTTTGTTCAGTAATTCGTTGGTTGTTACATGTCTTAACTTTTTGAAAATCCACATTAATTTTCTTATGCGGCCAGTTATTAATTCAATATGGTTATACCAAGACAGTCTCTGGTCAATAATAACACCTAAATATTTTGTTTTGTCCACTCTATAAATAACAGCACAGTCACAATTAAAAAGTAGGCTGTCTTGGCAAGTGTGTATTTTAATGCTAAAGTTGGCTGGTGGTTGAGTGTGATTGCAAATAGCAAAACAAATATAATTTGTTTTATGCGTATTTAATGAGAGTAGGTTGTTATTTAACCAGGCTGCTATAGTTTTAAGTCCCGATTCTGTACGCATTTTCACTTCCTCCCAAGTGTCTCCCGAAAAAGTAACAGCTGTATCGTCAGCATAGGAGAAGATGTGACCGTGAGGAATAGAAAGTTTGCACAGCTCATTAATATAGACCAAAAACAGCGTAGGCCCTAAGACGCTACCCTGAGGGACGCCGAAAATAACATTTTCTTCTTCACTCAACACAGCGTCCACAT